GTTTTTCCTTAAATGTTGCCAGCAAGAAAAGCTTATCAAAGGTGTGCGAAATTTTTTTTTTAAAACTTACGGGTCTATTCACTAAGCTGCTGTAGGCAGCCGAGTGAATGACCGACCTGAAGTGAAGTGAGCACTGTTCGGCTATTCACTTCAGGCTGGCACGGCTTCGTATGGCTTCAGCATGTTCGGCCGACCCAAAGTGCAGAAGGAGTTCGACTCAGCCCATCCAACATCTGGATCGGCTGAGCCGAACCTCCGGCAGGCTACTCACTGCTGTTCGGCCTATTCTTATAGATGCCGAACAGCAGTCTTTTTCAAGCCGGACAGTGAGAAAAAGAAGACCTGGCTCTTCGAAACGCGTAGCCGCAACAACGTTCACCTGCCCACACTTGCCTTCTACCCGAGACTCAGCGCTCGTCGCCTCGGCCGCCCCTGCTCGCACCCTCGAGCGCTGAAGTCACATCACTCCCACTGACTCTCCTGGCTCTGCCGCCTGCAGCGTCCATCTCCTGGCAACCGCCTATCACAGCCTTCTCCGCTCTCTGTGCTCGCCCGCCTCCAGCCGTTCTCTCTCCCCCTGACACACCGCTCGTTGTCTCGGGCTAACTTGCTCGTGCCCTCGAGCGCTGGAGTCTCAAACACTCCCATCAGCGATCCTTTGCTGGACACCTCGGGCTCCGTCCCAGTCTCTTCCCCCCCCCACACACACCCGATCCGCCCAGTGCATATGCCCACACTGACCTGACACTTCCAGTCGCCAGACCCATCATTCTCAAGCAGCAACACAGTGCACACCAGCTGCACCTTACCCCCCTCAGTCCCAACATCATCCAATAGCCCATGTCCACCCATGCCTGTCACCCCCCTCCCATGCACTAATCGGACCCAGGCTCCCACCACCATCCAGCACCCCCAAATCCTCAATTCCCCCTGACCTTCCCACAAGCACAACTGATTGGTCATAATCCCCACCAGTGGAGGTTCCCCATCTATTCACCCCTCGTCGATGATATCGCATCAGCTATTACTTTTTGGTAAGTTTTTCAAACTTTGCATAAATCCAATTCCTTATGGTAGTAGCGCTTCTATCCCCATTTTTGTTCTCCTTGACAACAGTGAATCATACCTGTGGAATGTGTGTTGAAACCCATGTTGCAAGGTGACAAAGCAGGAGGACAATTATGAGACAGGTGCAGGGCATTGTCACCTTATAACAGGGAGTGCCTGAATGAGGCCCTTTATGTCAGATTTGTATTTATTTATTTATTATTTATATGAAAGCTGCTGATTTCAAGCAATTAAACATAATTTTAAAAAGCTTATATGAGATTTTAGTGATTGGGGTTAATACACTTTAACTTAGCTTTTTGCAGCAGCACATACTTTAACTTACCTTCTTTACAGATGTTGGAAGGGAAAGTCCTATGTAAGCTGTGATATCTGTGTCCACAGCACCAATAGGGTTCCACCGCAGGAATGAGAATTAGATCCTCAATTGTGGTATACCTGACATTGTGTGCAAAATGTCTTACAGGACTCTTTGTTGGGGGATCGATCAGACTCCCTGACAATGAATGAAACTTCATAGATTCACAAATCACAAGGCCACAGCATAAGTTAATTTTAAGATTATGGAACTGATAGGGAAATTCAAATCACAGAAAGAGAAGCTGTAATGGAAATGCAAATTCATATAAAAATTAAAAACTCTAGAAAATCGTACGTGCCACTATGAGTTTAATTGAATCTCTGAGTTCTGACAGTAATGTCTGTTAGTAATTCCTCATGCTTGTGATCAAAGGTATACAGTTTTTTTTTTAAAAGGACTCTCATCCTCACTGAGGTGACAAACTTGCTTGGACATCTTATCTCTTAGTCATTTAGCCCAATGACATGCTTAGGCTCTGGCTACTCTTAATATATCCTAACTATTTAAAATAACCATTGTAAAAAAAATATAAAGAGCATGGATGTTAGAATATCCCTCTGGGGCTGATTGTCAAAATACCTGAACAGTTCTGCCATCTAATTAGATGCAGGCGCTTTTTAGCCAACAATTTTCTGCCCTGCTCCTTCAAATTGTCAATCAAAGTATATTGGGCAAAAGCTAGAAAATACTGCCACCCACTAAGCAAATTATGGCCTTTTCTTTAAGAACCCGCCACAATTTGCTCAGTGCATAGCCAGCTTAACCCCTTACAGCAGCCTTTACCATTAAAAGACAATTGTAGTTTTTAAATAGTTATATATCATTACTCCTCCTTGTAACTCTATATAAATATGTCATTTTCAGAACCATTTCTATAAATGTATAACGCCTGAAGAAGGGATCTTAGTTATCTTGAAAGCTTGCATTTTTTATAACTTAAGTTAGCCAATGAAGGTTATCACTCCAAACTTTCTGCAATCATTGATGGCTAATGTGGTAAATACTTGACTACTGTGATGATGACAAATGGAATGTGAAAGTGTGTGGTCAGCTTTAGGCCTGAGTAATGTTGGCAGTATTGTTAGATTTAGGAATCTCTAAAGTTTGTAGGATAATTCCAATTGTGTTTACTAATTAGGAAAATATCTGTTTTATTTATGTTGCTTTTCACTATATTTTCATCATGTTTATCAAGCAGCAACACAGTGCACACCAGCTGCACCTTACCCCCCTCAGTCCCAACATCATCCAATAGCCCATGTCCACCCATGCCTGTCACCCCCCTCCCATGCACTAATCGGACCCAGGCTCCCACCACCATCCAGCACCCCCAAATCCTCAATTCCCCCTGACCTTCCCACAAGCACAACTGATTGGTCATAATCCCCACCAGTGGAGGTTCCCCATCTATTCACCCCTCGTCGATGATATCGCATCAGCTATTACTTTTTGGTAAGTTTTTCAAACTTTGCATAAATCCAATTCCTTATGGTAGTAGCGCTTCTATCCCCATTTTTGTTCTCCTTGACAACAGTGAATCATACCTGTGGAATGTGTGTTGAAACCCATGTTGCAAGGTGACAAAGCAGGAGGACAATTATGAGACAGGTGCAGGGCATTGTCACCTTATAACAGGGAGTGCCTGAATGAGGCCCTTTATGTCAGATTTGTATTTATTTATTTATTATTTATATGAAAGCTGCTGATTTCAAGCAATTAAACATAATTTTAAAAAGCTTATATGAGATTTTAGTGATTGGGGTTAATATACTTTAACTTAGCTTTTTGCAGCAGCACATACTTTAACTTACCTTCTTTACAGATGTTGGAAGGGAAAGTCCTATGTAAGCTGTGATATCTGTGTCCACAGCACCAATAGGGTTCCACCGCAGGAATGAGAATTAGATCCTCAATTGTGGTATACCTGACATTGTGTGCAAAATGTCTTACAGGACTCTTTGTTGGGGGATCGATCAGACTCCCTGACAATGAATGAAACTTCATAGATTCACAAATCACAAGGCCACAGCATAAGTTAATTTTAAGATTATGGAACTGATAGGGAAATTCAAATCACAGAAAGAGAAGCTGTAATGGAAATGCAAATTCATATAAAAATTAAAAACTCTAGAAAATCGTACGTGCCACTATGAGTTTAATTGAATCTCTGAGTTCTGACAGTAATGTCTGTTAGTAATTCCTCATGCTTGTGATCAAAGGTATACAGTTTTTTTTTTAAAAGGACTCTCATCCTCACTGAGGTGACAAACTTGCTTGGACATCTTATCTCTTAGTCATTTAGCCCAATGACATGCTTAGGCTCTGGCTACTCTTAATATATCCTAACTATTTAAAATAACCATTGTAAAAAAAATATAAAGAGCATGGATGTTAGAATATCCCTCTGGGGCTGATTGTCAAAATACCTGAACAGTTCTGCCATCTAATTAGATGCAGGCGCTTTTTAGCCAACAATTTTCTGCCCTGCTCCTTCAAATTGTCAATCAAAGTATATTGGGCAAAAGCTAGAAAATACTGCCACCCACTAAGCAAATTATGGCCTTTTCTTTAAGAACCCGCCACAATTTGCTCAGTGCATAGCCAGCTTAACCCCTTACAGCAGCCTTTACCATTAAAAGACAATTGTAGTTTTTAAATAGTTATATATCATTACTCCTCCTTGTAACTCTATATAAATATGTCATTTTCAGAACCATTTCTATAAATGTATAACGCCTGAAGAAGGGATCTTAGTTATCTTGAAAGCTTGCATTTTTTATAACTTAAGTTAGCCAATGAAGGTTATCACTCCAAACTTTCTGCAATCATTGATGGCTAATGTGGTAAATACTTGACTACTGTGATGATGACAAATGGAATGTGAAAGTGTGTGGTCAGCTTTAGGCCTGAGTAATGTTGGCAGTATTGTTAGATTTAGGAATCTCTAAAGTTTGTAGGATAATTCCAATTGTGTTTACTAATTAGGAAAATATCTGTTTTATTTATGTTGCTTTTCACTATATTTTCATCATGTTTCAGTCAATAACTATGGGTTTTTCTTTTCTACAGATGAAATGAATGATCAGCAGAACACGCTGTCCTACATCCTCATCAATCCTTCCCCAGACACTAGACTGGAACTGAATGATGTTGTGTAAGTCAAGAGAGGAGAGCAGGCAGTTCTCTTCCACTCTGTCTGTTTTCCATCCTTCATGCAACAGTTCACTCTATGCCACCTGGCTTCCATCACTGTTTCATTCAATTATTTTTAACCTCTAATGTGACACATTGAAACAGATTTGTAATTTCTCACATGCACGGATTGTTAAGGGTCAGCAAAAGAAAGAGTGGCACAATGAATTTGAACTTATTTTGTCAGCACAGTAGCAGCATTGTTTATTTGCAGACATTTGTTCAATTACTGTAGAATAACACAGTTATTGCCGTTACTGCGGTTACAAATGCAATTCCATCTTAAGGCAAAGTGCAAAAGGATCATTGAATGGATGACTGAAGGGGTGAACTATACTATTGACATAGACTAGACACAATGTAATTATGTGAGCTTCAGTTATTTGAGATAGCAAAATTATCAGAAATGATAATGTTTGCAATTCTTACATCCCTCAGTAATAGAAATGTGACATCTGAAGTGACTTTCTATTATTTACCATTACAAAGCACATCTCCGACAAAAGTTCCTTAGGCCTTTATTTTAGGACAACTAGGTATCACTAATATAACAAAAAAAACAATACTTTCACTATGCAACTGATTATTTATAGGGTACACTGTCATGGCTTGGTCTATTTTGTTTCTTTTTAGTTTATACCTTTTACAAACCAATGTTTTATTTTATGGGACATGATAATGAAGCAGGGAATTTGATATTTACCAAACATTTACTACAGGTGCATCCTCCTAGTGCATGTGTTTTAAATTGGTTATTGATCCACCTGCAGTAAATGTTTGGTGACAATCACATTCACTGATTTTTTAATAGTACCTTATATGTTTTATTGTAAGTATACATTCTTATTTTACAAATTTAACTTTGAACGTATGACAAATTATGAGTTAAGTAGATATGTAGCATAGAAATGTAGCTTCATTTTTTGTACAATCTCGCTTCCTGAAGTTTAGGATTTAGCAATCCAATATGGGATGACATTGCTCTTACGTCAATCACATGTTTGAATTTCACTTTGAGCTATTACTCTCTGTAAACAAATATTTATATTTTTCGACACATGGTAAAGAGCAATAGAAAAACATGGAAGAAAGAGCTCTACCTGTTGCCCGGATAAGAGGCTATTTACCTTATGACCATAATAAATAAAGGAATAACATTAGAACAAAACCACCTTATATGACCTTAGGTGGTACTTTGATCTAATTTAAACATGCACAGTGCCATGAGTGGCCCTACAACTAAAATACAACAAATGTGCAGACTAGTCATACAGTGTGTCAATAAATATAACCAATGGTTTTCCCAGCTCTTCCAGGCCAAGGCAGCTTATCGAATTCCAAATACATTTTGTCATCAAGCTTCATCCTGTAATCTGTCCTTCACTCCACCTTAGCATCACTGTAAACAATGTTTCCCAGACCTCCCAATCCCTTCCACTCCAGTGTTTTTGTTTATTTTTTCACTGCTGAAATGCATGCATGATAGGAGATAATAATTATGAGTAAAGGAGCAGAAAGATATTTTGTCAGGAACCGTGGCTGCATTATAATGGTGCATCACTATAGAGTTCACATAACAATATTCCAAATTCTGCACAACACAGACATTTTCCTGTTTTATAATTCAGGTATTTCATTTTACGCATTCTGAAAAATGTTGTTTTCTCTCAAGAAATTTTGCATACATATGAGGCAGAGAGCAAATAGCATTTTATATTTACCTTCAAAATGTATGACTTGTCTATTGCATTTTTTTACCTTGTGGTTCACATCATGAAACTGTGCATGGTTACATTTAGAATTTTGGTCCGCTTTCAGCCTTTCAGTTTGTTTGCTGAAAGGTTTATTATCTTTGTTTTACCCTCATATTTCATATTATGCATGGCAAGGTACAAGGGTCACTTTCTTTTTCCTTTCCCCATCAGCATGCACTCACCTTCCCTAGCTTCTATGCTGCTCTGTTCAGCTACTGGGAGCACATTGAAATAAACATAACTTCTGGATTTGGGTTAGTATGCGCCTCACTTTCCCTCTTACATAGAGGAAGGAATCTATAGCCGTGTGTGGGGCTTGCACAGGGCCTTCTTTATCCAGTCCTAGTGGACACATGGAGTGGCATTGGAGAGAGGAAAGGTGGCTATGTCTTGCTCAAGATGGAGGGACCCTCTTACCTTGCTTGCATGGGCAAAGAAGGATCACATTAAGTAAATGTAAACAATGCCTAAACTTACATTTAACTGCTATATTTGTCTCTGTTTAAAGTCCAAATACTGTATTATAACAATAGCCCAAAGCTTCTTCCAATCAATAGTAGTTATTGTATTTTCTATCTAACCACACACCTAATGGAAATGTAATTCATTCTGTTGATGGAAGCAGCTACATGGTTCAGGTCATACACATAGGTAAAAACAAAACATTTTCTTCTTACTGGGAAAGGTTTAGGAGCTATTTATGTCTCTGAAAAAAAAAGATGCAGTTACAGAAGATGATGGAGAACTATAATACATATCTGACAAATTTAAAAGAATGAAACAAACCTGTTTTGCTTCAAAGAAGCAACTGAGCTCAAAGAAATTGAAAAGTTATAACTTTTCTGTTTGTCATTGGCTGTTTAACAAAATAGATATTTTTTGGTTTGAATAACCTTTGATATCTCTCCCTCATTATTATTTACAAGTAGTATTGCTTCTGTTATCCTTATTGTTCATATTTGCATTTTAACCCCTTCCCATGTGGAATCTGTATATGTACATTCTGTGGCATGATGCTCCATGCCAAGTATATGTTTATAAATGTCAACCCCATAATAGCCTGCAGTCGACACTTGATATGTTAGCTCTCTACACCAGTTGTCAGAGACAGTCAGGGTCCCTGTTGATGATTTATAAAGAATTACAGTGGTTCCCGACAATGTGATCATTGTGACAGCTATGACAGTGATTACATGCAGGCTAGAGACTCAATTGATGGAAAAAAAAATATTCAGCCTGCAAATACAAACTGCCAACTTCAAGCTACAGTGTTCATTTTATACCTATTTAATAGTTTAGCTGTCAGATACAGTTGCATTGATGATGATGATGATGATGATACATACTGTATGTATAAACATTTTCTAAGTGTTTAGGTCATTTTAGACATCAATTACCTCAGGTCCAGAAAGGGTAAACTAAAAAAAGAATTAAACCCTCCTATCCACAGAGGACAGTGCCATCTTAGCCTCTTTTTAGACAGAATGTAAATAAAAACACTGCAGAACATAACTATATTATTTATTAGGAAAAAAGATAAAATGATGGGTTTTACTCCTAAGTCCTAAATAAGTTTTGTATAATATGTCTTTATTGTTTCTATATATAACAATGGAGACATATAAACATCCTGTTAAAAGACTCTCCCAGGGATAAATCCAATCAAAAACAGAAGAGAAAGATATTCATAACTTCTTCCTAAAACAGCCACCATACATTTCCCTTCCCATTAGTATTAAAACCATTCTTCCCCCCCAGGGGTCTCAACTAAAAAAAAAACAAGGGAAGCAACAACCCAAAATCCCTGCCTCCCTAAACCTAAAAAAAACAAATAAGACAAATTGGAAAAAAAAAAAAAGGAAAATAAAGAAATGTCACAGTCTCATCTCCTCCTTCCCTCACTCCTCTACATTCCTCCAAAGGCCATACAAACGAGCCTCACATTTCTGTTTAGCACATGCATATCAGACTCTATCCATGGTTTCCATGTCACCATAAATTGTGGGTACCTGTCCTGGGATCGCGCTACCAACTCTTCAACCCTTCTTAAAAAATCAATTTCTTTGACCCAATCTTTAATTTGAGGTGTATCTTGAGACCTCCAATATCTAGCTATTACAGTTCTTGCAGCAAATAAAAAAGATCTAAATAAGCCTTTCTAAATCCTAAAGTTCTAGGTCCTTTCCTAAGTCCTAAATAAGCTTAGTAAGTTCACTATTTCAGATAGCAAGACACAATTAAACTCCCTTACCACAATAGGTGCAAATGTTGGCAAAGCCTGCCTTGTTCTGGTATCCTGGCAGTCACAAGATATTAGCAGTCCATTAAAACCACTTTAACACTTTCATGTTTCTTTTATAACAACAACTAGAATACCATTTAAAATGTGGTATATGCCAGAGATTTTACATGTGAACACTCAAACATTTGTTAGTTAACCAACTTCTTGATGAGATCATACTACCGCTCTGAATCTTTGTTGAAAGACCTATACATTATCTTGTTAGAATTATTAATCATAGGTACTTATGAATGAATAACATAATAGCATCTTTACTCTGAATTCCAGTTTTTTTGTTTTCCTTACCTATGGAGAACCAAATCAATGTTTAAAGAATTGTAATAACGTATGAAATGTTTACAAAGATGATGGGGGTGTTTGATGTTTCTCATTAATATTCCTGCACCATTACTTACAATACCTTTGATGCACAGGTGACATCTCTCTAGTAATGGCAAGCGCTGATTCTGAGAACTTGTTCCAGCTTAGGGTTTAAAAGCTTTGCAAATGGATTTTAATCTGCTTGTTATTTTCCAATGTAAATGGGTGGCAGGGTCATCATTTAGTGCTAATTCAGTCTATGCTGACAGTTATTTCCTGAATGCTGAAGAGTTTCTCTGGACTGAGTTAGCAAAGCAAGTATTTAAACACTTTGGCAAAGTGCAGCTCGGTAGTGACTGTTAAAAAAGCACTTATTCAGCATGACTGAACATTTCAAGCCAGACTGAATTAAAAGCCATTAAAATATGAACTAGAAATAGAGGTCTGCTCCCAACTATGTTGCATCTCAATACTTTAATGGCTGTTTCACAAATTGCAATATGTTTAAATCCTTCAAGATTAACAGTACACTGGTTACAGGAAAATGATACATGTGGTTATGACCTCAATTTCATTAGTTATCAGTATATGAATGCCCTTTCCTGGACTCTTGTTTATTTGTGACATTTGTGCTCTACACCACAGGGACTTTTTTATTGCACCCTATTAATCCCTTATTGAGTAACTATTTTCAGTTCTATATATAACAATGACATTGATCAAGGAAATTAGATTTTTCTTATAAAATAAAAATTTAATTGTGGCTTCACAACTGTGATGTTCAAGATTTCATGTTGTAGCATAGCAGGATAGCAGGGATACATGGTTTGCTTTAATAATTTCTGTTCATTGGTCACATAAAGCAGAACTCAACAAAGCAGAAAAAAAAACATTGAAAGTTCAAAAAATACAGTTTTTGCTACAATACTAATCTTCAGTTTGGAGCTGCCTTCCAAAGTCCTTTCTGCCACTCATTGAAGCCAATCTTCCAGATTAAATGAGGGCTAGTGTAATTCAACCCACTTCCTCTGAATCCAGGCTGTCTTGGAAAAGCCATTTAGGGGTATGTCACTGTGGCAGCCTGGGCTAACTTTACTACTGCACTAAGTTGCATACTTTAACATAACAATGTATTTTAATGCCAATGCATAGACATTAACAAAAAGGGAAGGGAAGCAAGCCGATGTACGGCTGATTTCAGCCGATGTACGGCTGATTTCAGCCGTACCAGCCTGAAGTGAATAGCCGAACAGTGTTCGGCTCACTTCACTTCAGATCAGTCATTCACTCGGCTGCCCTCGGCAGCTTCGTGAATAGACCCCTTAGTTTATGTATTTATTTCATTTAGTTTACTTACAAACAATATTTTTTTCTTAATAATTTTAGTGAAATTCGTATAGTGAATGACCTCCATTCTTCAGGGTAGATGGTGATATTGTAGTCATCTCTTCTTATTTTTGACTTGTCAGACAAAACCCTAAATCAAAGTTTTGCTCTTTTAATTTTTCTAAATCTTTTTATGTCACAGATTTTATTAGTAAAAGTCCAATGGGTTTTACTGACATGCTGCTTTGCTTGTCACATTTGCATTCCATTCCAGTTAGCTAGTAACTTGTTTTACATTTTTTTTTCATTTTAAGTAAATAATGACATTCATCTTCTGAGAGCAGAAGGGACAAAAGCAGCTTTATTTACATTTATTTGTTTATTGTGAATGACACACTAGTACTCCACTGTAGGCATTGAACATCCGTGTACAATTTGCTAGGTTGGTTCAGGAATTGTGTTCGCTATGCACGCACATGCTAATGGGAGCCCATGATGTAAGCATAACCTTGTGATTCATCCTTGCTCTTGTTTATTTACTGTAGGGAAAGCACCTGCCCATTGTCTTTAGTTAAATATCTCAAAATTCTCTCTTTTAATGATTTTAAAGCCCATTCTTGATATACTCTTTGGGGTTTTTTGTTTTCTTTAATACTAACCTTTTTTCAGATATGTTCATGTTTGTCAATTGACGTGCATGGTCCATTTTTCTTCCAGCACTGGGTGGTCCTCAGTAATGCCACTCTCTGCAACATTACAGTATGAGTGCAGGGCCTCCTGTTGTGACACCCCTCAGGGAGTGGCTTTATGACACCCTGCACTCAGTATGTCCTCAGAGTTTAATCATGTCATTCAACCTGACTCAGGACAATCGGTGGCAGAAAGGGATCACTGTGAGCAACAGTATGAGAGCAGGAGAGCATTGCAGCTTGGGGTGCCTTTTTTTCCTGCCTTTTCAGAATAAAGTTGGCTCAGAGTTGGGCTTTAATGTCTTTAATTGTTATCATAGGGAAAGAAAGAACTTACAGGGTAAAGTGTTTTCTGTACTAGTAGATCACAAGTTATTAGGGTTTTTATTTTATTTGAAATGAATAATTATGTTAGGAATGGATGAAAACGTTTTAATATTAGAAGTCCAGAAACCAATGATATGCATAAATGACGTATCAGTATTTACAGCTGTCCATTAATTAATAAAACACCATGTTTTTGTTCTGATAAGAGGTTTCCTCAAGGTCTGTTTTTTGTTGCATATGTTGATAGATTAAAACCTTACAAATATATTCCTTTTGTTTTGTATTTTTAGCTACCTGATCAGACCAGATCCACTGTCTTATGTTCCAGGCAATGCATCAAGCCGGAAAAGCAGCTTTTGCAATACAACCGGGCAAGATTTAAAGGATGAAACGCAGCTCTGATATTTCAGAGGCTTCAGTGAATTAAAGAATTGATTTGTAGCTGTAACATCATCCAGCCATAACAAACCTAAATCTATGGCAAGAAGCTTCAAGCCAACACCTGCTTTCTATAGCATAGTCTGTACCAGGAAATATTGTTACCCATGTCTTTAAGCTGTTGAATCAGTGTTATTTCCCTACCATGTCCTTTTCTAGATAGGATTAACAGACCAGGAAAGGTCGGACACTACAGGTAGGGTGGTCAATGAAAAAAAGCTATTTTATATATGCAATCTCATTAGTGTCTAGTTGCTTCTTAATGTGAATTTGTTCTGTATTCATTCATGAAAGTTTAAGGTCATATATTGGCAGATATTGGTTGTGAAACAAGTTTATCTATTGTGGTGCCAAACATTTTTACCATACTATTGATTAAGCCTCAGACAAGCAAGATGTATATCTCTGCTTTATGACATTTAGAACATAACCATTTTGAAGGAAAGCACTGCTGAATAATATTTTATATTCTAGCTTTTAGCATTAACTCACCATTGTTCTTGGTTTTAAGGGATAGTCACATGCTACTAGATTTATTTATTTTTTATAAATCAATACTACACACCATGTTTTTGTTGCAGGATATAATTCTTGATCTTTACATGTAACATTATACTGGTTATTTGTGCTTCATTAAAAGTATCTCAAACTGTTTGCATAGTGCTTGATATAAATGATCTAGAAATGTGTACAATCAGTGTACAACATAGGTACTTGAAGTGAACCTGTGCCTAGACTATGAACAATAAACTATGTGCATATTCTGAGAATTCTTTAAAACAAGTCCTCATTCGCTTTTGTAGCTATAGGCATAGGAAAAATTCATCTTCAAGATTCACAGAAGAGGCACATAAATGACATCTCATTTTCCTTTTACTTACTATAGAGAGCAGAATCTTGGCAGCCTGCCAGCCCTCTAATGTAAACATAAACTAGGTGCTTTTCTACTGCTAGAAACCCAACTTTAGAATATCAGTTGTAATCTTTGAAGATCTTTGAGGATATATTACTTCAATGCACAAGCAGCTAGAGAGGTCAATGATGACTTATTTTACTGCTTTTTAAGAATATGTGAAAATGGTAATGCCCATATCCAGGGCACAAATGCGCTTTAAACTATAACTATGGGCAAAATAAAAAATGACATGTATGATGCAGCCTATCACTGGTATGTCCCCTCTGTAATATAGTTTAACAGGGTGACAACATTGTTAGTTCTGCAGTGAAATCACTCAGCAGTACTGTCACCCTGTGTGTGGAGGTAGGCTTAGAGGGACATGCAGTTCAAATAAACTTTAAAGTGTTTTTCAACTTTTGTTGAGAAAAAAAACCTTGGGGTAATCAATGCACACTGCAAATATTTTAACACTCTTTGTTGCAATTTTCTTTTTTTTTCTGTCCTTTTATTAATTGCTGTTTGGTCCACCATGTCCTTTCTCAGATTGATTCTTGAATCGGTCTGTAAATGTCTGAATTAATTTTAACCACCTGTTGCACTCTCTGAGTTCTCACAAGGAAAGCTGCATCATCTGCATTTCATTAGTAGACAAGTCTCAGGGAGTTCATAGACACTAACAAAAAAAAAGATCACCACAAATGATATTCTTATGCAGAGGATGTCTATAGCTTTGAATCTGAGAAAATCAATTGGCCAATCACAGGGGTGTTCTGTACACCACCAGTGTTCAGAACGCCTCCAGGTTGTATCACGCACCTGATTGGAGACTGGTTGAATGAGGCTTCCCTTGCACCTCGTGTCTCAAAGACTCTGGAGATGAGAACAGAATCGGAGTGAACAGCGAGTGGCACAGGTGCCAATGGTGATCACCCGTGCAGGCAGGAGTCCAGAGATGAGATCAGGCCAGACAGGGCCAAGGTCAAACCAGGCGGGCAGCGAGGTACAAGGCAGGAGACAGGGGCAAATCTTGTAAACAAGTAGGAGGTTGAAGGGCAGGCAGCAATCCGCGTGGTCAAGAGCAATCTGGGTCAAATGTCACAGAGTCACAGGAACCACAGGAACTAGCTGAAAGATAATCCAGCAACTTGGGATCAGGAAGGCTTGTCTAAATAGGCTGATCTATCAGAGGTCACAGCATCATTTTGCGTGCATCCCATAGCACATGCATTCGCACAAGTGTGCTTTTACCTGTAATACGAAAAACGGGACCACAAGCATGCACAGTAACTGCTTTCTTACAGATTGCCATATTGAATTGCATGTTTTGAAAGTTTTAGAATATTACAGGCTAAGTACTGCAATGCGAAGATCACTTTTAATAGCATGAAATTAAACAATTGCTTGTAGAGCAATTTTATGTACAGTATGTATTTGTTTTACCAAAATTGGAGTTTTCTCTTAAGTAAAAGACAAAAGAAGGCTGACGCCATATAAATAAAAGCTGAGTACAGATTTAATTTCTTGCAAGCTAGTCTTATACCTCGCTCCCACTCTTTTAAAAATAATATGGAGTAAAACAGCAGATCCTCTCATCCACTATCCTGGTGTGAAATTGCCCTCCTAAGAAAAGCTACAGCCTTTTTTCACCCTTCACATCAGTTCACAACACGTTAAATGGCATTAATGTGCTGGAAATTCACATGGGCACTGTGTCCTTGTACCACACTCTTGTTGACTGGCTACTATGAAAAACAAAAAAGCTTCTGTGTCAGAGGGGATACTGTGCATTCATAGTTGGCACAACATGTCAAAGAAACCAACTCTGGTATGCTAACTAGACAATGAACAGCAGCACACTGATGATAACCATCTTTATACTACTACATGTTCACAGTACTTGACTGACAGCTCTGTGGAAAGCAGTACAACCCTGATTGGATGAGGACTGTGACGTATCCAGTATTATTTCTGCTATGTGCCGATTACAGGAAGGTTGAATAAAGCAGAATTGAAAGACTTTTACAAGCAGCATTGAAAACTCAATGTAATCATGTTTAATACTGTATTCAATATGCCTTCTGTTGACTATTGCATAATTTTTGCTATATTATTTGTGTTTTGTATATCATGCTGTGTACCTCTATCTACTTAAAAAAAATAAACAAAATTTAATGAGGAAAAAAAAGAACTGTCAAAACATTATTAAAGCAGACAAGTTTTATGGGGACACTTCTCCATCCTCAGCACACTGCTCTAGTACACTAATAAAAGGTAAACTTGGATCATCAGGTATGTATTTTTTATGTTAAGTGCATGCTTGCTAAATTATGTTTTTTAGCATTGTGACACTTAAAGGTAATAATTACCTCTCGTAAAACACAGTAATCCCCCTGACAGTTTTTTTTGCAGAAGAACAATTATCTTAGTTTAGGCATCATCCAGGGTCAGCTTGTGCCAATGGTGGATAGCTTCCTCCTGCCTTCCGCAGACTAATGCCATCTTCTCAGCCTAGGCAAAGTCACTTGACATACTGTAAGCCTAAGTAGTACCTTAATGATACAGGTAGAGTTTTCTTTAAAATTATACTGTTGCTGTATATTGTGACGTCAGGAATTTAGTCATGCAGGCTTGTAAAGTTATATAATGCCCATGGATTTATTTCTGAAGCCTTCATCAGGCTATCTCAGTCACAGAGAAGGATTGCTGTTTGGGCAAAGACACTGGCTGGCTGGGTCTGCCTGACAGTCAGTCCACTAAGCTCCTTAGGCCTCAAGCATATGATCAATATACAGCAAAAATACACGCACTTATGTTACCAAGTATTAGTATAGTGAAGCAGGACAATCTGATTGCTATAGAGAATAAGATAAATGCTCCCAAAGTACGTATATACAGTATTGTGCAAAAGTTTTAGACAGGTATGAAAAAATGCTGTAAAGTAAGAATGCTATCAGAAATAAAAGTGTTAATAGTTTATTTTTATCTATTAACAAAATGGAAAGTAAATGAACAGAAGTAGAGCTGCAACAACTATTCGATTTAGTCGATTAAAATCGACGATGGAAAAGGTTGTCAACGTTTTCCATCGTCGATTAGTCGGCTATCTATTAACCTCCCTGGCGGTATGATTATGTCAGGAATTTTGTACCAAAAGCGGTACAATTTTTTGCATGGAAATTTGGTGTTATGTATTGTAGGCCTGCAATTCTTAGTAAATCTTAGGAATAACTCGCCTAAATCTGTCCAAACAAGAGTCCAGTAGACATCCAACATGATAAAGTTTGAAACACGAAATTAAAAAATTATAATATAATAAATTATAAATCAATGTCCTGTTGGCTGCCCCACACATGAGCCGCGCACGCCACGCCCACACGCCAGGCCCATCGCACATGCAGGGGTCCAGCCCCCAGCTCTCCTCCAATCCCGGCGCTCCTTACATCTAGCCGGGCAGGTGCGGTCACATGACTGGTGCCGGGGATGTAAGCGCGACAGGTGTCAGCCAGGCTACGGGGACGAGCTGGCATCCAGGCTGAACCGGCGGCTTCGGATGGGGGACCCGGAGGATGGGGAGAGGGAGCTGCCTAGCATGAGGGTTTTCAATCCCCCACACCGAGTTCAAGGAGTTCAGCAGAAAGCAGACATGGAGGGAATGTTCAGACAAGTAAGTGCCCCGAGCACCCCGGAGCCTGGAACCTGGGGACCCGACACCGTGCACCCCAATCCACCATCATACCCATCCTCTGCACCCCATTCCACCATCATACCAGTCCTCTGCACCCTATTCCACCATCATACCCATCCCTGCACCCTATTCCATCATCATACCCGTCCTCTGCACCCCATCCCACCATCATACCCGTCCTCTGCACCCCATTCCACCATCATACCCATCCTCTCCATTCCACCATCATACCTGTCCTCTCCATCCCTGCACCCCATTCCACCATCATACCCATCCTCTGCACCCCATCCCACCATCATACCTGTCCCCTGCACCCCATTTCACCATCATACCCGTCCTCTCCATCCCTGCACCCCATTCCATCATCATACCTGTCCTCGGCACCCCATTCCACCATCATACCTGTCCTCTCCATCCCTACACTCCATTCCATCATCATACCCATCCCCTGCACCCCATTAAACCATCATACCCATCCTCACCATCCCTGTACTCCATTCCACCATCATACCCATCCTCTCCATCCCTGCACTCCATCCCACCATCATACCTGTCCTCTGCACCCCATTCCACCATCATACCCGTCCTCTCTATCCCTGCACTCCAATC